CTGAGTAGAACTGAGAAATAGTGGCCTCTGTATCTCTTAAGTACTAGTCAAAGTAATTCAACATATGGCCAATAGATCTTAGAAGAACTTGAATGGTGAGCCCTACTTATAGTTTTCTAAGTTCATGAAGACCTTATATACAAACAGGAAGAGTTGCTACCTGTAAAACATGAATTATCTTTTAGCAAATTTGTGAAACAGTTGCTAAAAAATGAGAAAAACTTCAATTGATTGGCACTTTTTCATGCAAGAACTAGAACTGCCATACCAAAAGGAACTTTTACATAAAAAAAACCTCAGAAATCACTAAGCTAAAATGGAAAAAAAAAAAGTAAATATATCATTTCTACTATTTTTAATCAACTCTTAGTGGAGTCAGTTATTTATGCAAATTTCAAAATCAGTAAGAACTCTGAGTTGGCTTGGGTAGGTGTTAGAATATATTAGCAGACAATGCAAAATTATACCTTTGAAAAAAACTGAGTTTGGGGGTGGAAGAAACCTTGGGAATAAAAATTAGGCTGATATATTCGAGGTAACTACACCAGCATCTCTTATTTACTCAGAACTGTCTCAAGAAGGAAGGAAGGAGGAAAACGGGATGCCACATTTGCTAGCATTAAATATTTTTTAGCAAGAAGAAAAGGGTGAGATCCTGACTTCCACTTATTTCTATTATCTAAATCATGGGTTTGCTTAAGTACATTTTTCACATAACAAGGTTGATGTCTTAATGTGCATGCATGCTATCAAAGTGACTTAATAAAGATAGAGAATGCACAGAACTATAGCGAGTAGACTCATATAGTCTGTGACTGTAGACCAGTATCTCTTAACCCAGGGTCATAAGACCCTGTGTGCTCTGACGATATCACAGGCCTACATAGGTTATGAGATTTGAATGAAGTAGATCAAGAAAAAGAAAACAAGTCAGACAGATTGAGGAACGCTGCTGTAGATCATTTTGTGGTCTGAGCTTAGTGATTCCACCTTAATACAGGAAATATACCCACATGAAAATAAACTTAAACATCACATAATATTTATACACTAGCAGAGCTAGAGGAAATTTGAGGGACCACCTTAAATATTATATATACATATAGGATGTATATATATATATATATATATATATATATATATATAGATGCACTGTAGCATTGTCCTCCGGTTGTTCACTGATTTGCTCGAGCAAGTCCAGTAACGTCTCCATTGTGAGACTTGTTGTTACTGTGTTTGGCTTATCGAATACGCCACAGGTAGCTTGTCAGGCTTTGCTGTGCGGACAAGATACTCTCAGTAGCTTGCCAGGCTCTCCGAAAGGGACAGAGGAATCACATTTGGGTCGGCCGCATGCAAGGTAAACGCCCTACCCATTGTGCTATGATATTTATTAAATTTTTATATAAGGTAATAATAATAATAATATAAATTTTAATTTCTTAGACTAAATTAGTATTCTGGGTCTGGGAGTGAAGTTCACTTGAAAGAACACTTGCCCTGATTATGGGAGACCCTGCATTGGATACCTCACTATCCCCCCAAATTTAAATGCTAAATAAAATCATTGTTCAGCATCACCACCTTATTCCAATAATGTAGAAAACTTCATGTTAAGACAATATAATATCTCACCATATTTATCTACAACTCAAAAACATTACTAGATTTTCACTTTACTAATACCTTGATGAGGTTGTTGAGAACATCAAATAAAGCCAGTAACTTTATTTTTGGAGGGGAGGTGGGAGGGAAAATGCGGACATTGGTGGTGGGAAACATACATGGTGAACGGCAGGGTGCTGGAACATGGTAGGACTAAAACCCAATCATGAACAACCTTATAACCGTGTATCTCTTGGTGATACAATTAAAAAAATATATTAAAGGCTTAAATGACTAAAACAAAGTCTAGCAGCAATTACTCACTGTCTCTGATTGTAATGTGGCAGGCAGGCAGATGGGTAGGGAAGGGTCCCAGGAGGCAATGAGTTCTTGAGAAGTAATAAAACCAACTAGCCCTAAGGCTGTCAGGACCCACCTTGGGGACACAGGAAGTAAGGTCTAACGAGACCTGCACCCGGGGGAGAAGGTGGAACCCCCTCCAAGAGATGCTCCAGCAGGAATAAAGGCCAGGGAAGGAATGCCCAAGAAGGACTCTTCTGTTACTCCCTACCCGCCCTGCAATCACCAGAGCAGCGGACTCTCACCTATACAGGAAGGTCCATGGGACAGCTTGGGAGCAACTCTGTAGGAGTCAACTTGAACAAAGGAAGCATGCACGTGTGGCCGCGCCCACGGGCTGGCCATGCCAAGTGCAAGTGGTGCCTGAGCACGCCTACACCACCCCCGCCCACCGAGATGTGTACTGGCTCCCTCTACTCTGTAGAAGAACTCTCTCTCTCTGTCTCTCTCTCTCTCTTTCTCTCTGCATCTCGCTTTCTCCATCTCCCTCTCTCCATCTCTCTCCCCTTCTTTCCCTTCTCTCTCCATCTGTCTCTTTGTCTCCCTCCTCTCTCTCCTTCTCTTCCCCATCTCGCTCTCTCTCTGTCTCTCCTCTCTTTCTCCCTCTCTTTCTCCCTCTCCCCTGCTCTCTGCCCACTTTCTCTGTCTCCTCCTCTCTCTCTCCCTCTCTCCTCTCTCTATCTCTCTCTCCCTCTTTGTCTCTTCCTCTATCTTTCCTCCTATCTCTCCCTCTGTCTTCCTCTCTCTCCCTTTCTCTCTCTGTCTCATCCTCTCTCTCTCTCCTCCTCCTCTCTCTCCCTCTCTTCCTCCCTCTCTTTTCCTCTCTCTCCCACTCTCCCTCCTCCCTCTCAACTGAAAAGGCCTGGGCATGGTCTCAATAGCAGTTCCCAGGGTCGGCAGATCCCCTTCTTGCAGCTTCTGCCTCTCTCTTCCCCACCCGGGGTCCTCACCAGCAACCACAGTAACATAATTTCTAAGTTATTATTTTTCCTTTCCATTTTTTCAGTGATTTTCATGAAGTGACATTAAATGCATTTTATTCTATTTTCCTTTTTTACAATTAATCCTTCATAAAGTCCAGAAAGAGTGATGAATTCAGGGGAAATATTCTACCTTTGTATTTTGTACCAAAATAAGTATTTCTCATTTAAAGGCATTTTTCAAGAGATTTATATTATCAATATTATAACAGAAACATGTACATGTTCAGTCAAATTAACTCCAATAGACAATTTGAAATTCTTGAATATAGCAGATTGCTTTTAGAGGATTACTTCCAACCTCATGGACAGCACTGTTCCTGACCGCATTTCTTTTACTTTAGATAAAAATAGGTTTCACCAACAGTTAGCCTTTTCTCGTTATTAAAACTTTATACAGATTGTCACCAGCAGAGCTAAAACAGCAGCTGTCCACTGGAAATAATTGCAGAAATGTTTTGCCCATTGGCCTGGAATCAAACATATGTTTTCCTAGAACAACAAAAACACAACTTTCTTTATTGATGTCTGTTAATAATCGAGCAGTGTTAATTACAGAGCTCTCCACCTGGATATATCCCAGCACACAGGAGCTGAGTGTTTTCATATATATTTTAAGTTTTCAATATTTCAGGTACTTGAGATACTAAGGCTGTGCTGGAATGATGTTTGCTTATTTTTAAAACTACACTTGGCAAACTATTTTGTCTCTACAAAGTAGACCTCATGTCCCCTATTATCTAATTAGTGCTGAAAGCTAACTTAAGCATGGGCTGTAAACTTACAAAATTATTCAGATTAGAAGTAATTTTTTTTTTTGCTTTTTGGGTCACACTCGGTGATGCAGGGGGGTTACTCCTGGTTCTGCATTCAGGAATCACCCCTGGCGGTGCTTAGGGGTCCATACGGGATGCTGGGAATCGAACCCGGGTCAGCCGTGTGCAAGACGAACACCCTACCCAATATGCTATTGCTCCAGCTGGATTAGAGGGGCTGGAGCAATAGCACAGCGGTAGGGCGTTTGCCTTGCATGCAGCCAATGTGGCTGACCCGAGTTCGATTCCTCCGCCCCTCTCGGAGAGCCCGGCAAGCTACCAAGAGTATCTCGCCCCCACGGCAGAGCCTGGCAAGCTACCCGTGACGTATTCAATATGCCAAAACACAGTAACAACAAGTCTCACGATGGAGACGTTACTGGGCCCGCTCGAGCAAATAGATGAACAATGGGAGGACCGTGACTGTATTCAGATTAGAATTATTTTCGAACTTTGTGTACTTAAATTGACAGGAGAGTGTTAGGCTTCTCAAATAGCCTTGCTCTGCAGAACTTCTTCAAATACTTCCAGTAGCATACATTTTGAAAATAATCATTGATAATAAAGCCAATTTTCAACCTCTTGGGATCTGTCTCAGACCTTGTTTCATATTATTCTCTGGCTTGGAGAGTGCTTGTCTACTCTGCTTACCAAAGACTTTGGGCTGTTTTTAGGGTTTCATTGTAGAAGCATATGCATCTCAATGGTGAGATGGTTGGTCCTTTAAAATCAAAGCTAAATTCAAACTGGCTACTTAAATGCACATTCATCTTCTGTTACAATATTTATTAGCAGTAATTTAGATAAAGGCTATGTGTTTACTCAGAAGATAAATCAATAGTGTGATCACAAGGGTCACAGATGACTTCCTAAGATTCTGATACCTAGAACCAAATACATAGTTTTTTTTTCCCTGGGTAGGGGGGAGTTGGGGTGGGTTTTCACACCCAGCAGTGCTCAGGGTCTATTCCTAGCTTCACATTCAGGAGTGACCCCTGGTAGCAGTGCTCAGGGAACCCCTTGCAGTCCCAGGGTTTTGCAGCAGAGTCGTCTAATGCAGGGAAAGCCCCTTAGCTCTGAGACTGTCTCTCTGCTCCTAGCTTTTCTAAATAAAATTAAAATCATCCAGGTTCCATATGGCTAATCTATTTGTCTAACATAATCTTCCATCAAATCAGAGTTGGCTCTTTAATCATCTCCATGATGTTACTCTCACTGGAGAATAGAAATCAAACATTACCTTCTGGATAGAAATGATTCCTTCCTGTGTATCTTTGTCCACAGAAATCTTGAACACCCCCAATCCATCTCCATCCACTATTTGATATTCCATTTCAGCATTAGCTCCTATATCGGCATCGGCGGCCTTGATTCTGGCCACAACTGAGGCCACTGGCAATGATTCTGGGACATTATACTGGTAAGATCCTGTGAAATTCAGAAGAACAAAATGAACAAAGGCTTACCAAGGAAATCGGTAGCTGTTTAACCAATGAAAACACTTGATGACTTAATCTTTGCTTTGTGACAAGAGGCTAAAATGATATTGGTACAAGAGACAACTTCCTCCTAGGCTCTGATGTTTTCTGGTGGTGTGTGGAAAGAGCGGGTTAGCCAATAAAGGAAAACTTAATGTAACTGTAAATATGATTTATTTATAAATTTGTTATAAATATATTTATAACTATTTTATGATGTATTATAAATGCAATGTACATGTATCTATAAATGTACTATATGACATTATAATACAATTATGAACATGATGGATTTATACTCACTGGAAATAATATACTGATTATTAAATATCAAACAAAATAGCATAGCCCAAACTTCACAGAGGCCAACAGAAACCTATTTCTGATTACATGGTGTTACACAATTTTCAGAGAGGCAGGTCAGTGAAACATAGTATGTTACGAAAACATAGTATGTTTCTCAAGTAACATACTATGTTTCTAAAACGTATACAAACAATGGGCAAGGAAATGAAAGTAAACCAAGGCTAGTCTTCTTTGTGCTCATAAATTTAACTAGGCTCATGCTGATGTGTAGGGTTGTATACAGATACACAGACCCAATAGTACCTGAGTAAAATAATATTATTTGACTAAAAGGAGAGACACACACAAAACACGAAGAATATAGCTTTTTAAACTTTTTTTTTCAACAAACATTTTTCTTCATAGGAAAGGAGAGATGGAGGGAGGGAGGAAGGAAGAAAGGAAGGGAAGAAGGAAGGGAGGAAGGAAGAAAGGGAGGGGGGAGGGAGGGAGGGAGGGAGGAAGGAAGGAAGGAAGGAAGGAAGGAAGGAAGGAAGGAAGGAAGGAAGGAAGGAAGAGGTGCGGAGGGAGGGAGTATTTTACTTAAATGCTAAACTTAGGTAAAAATTTTCTCTATTTACCATGAGATGCTGAAATGTCTGGGAAACAGGAATAAAATAATATTTAAAGTGCGTAAAATTAAAATAAAACATAAAGCTGAAATATTTAAAGGAAGGGCTGGAGTGATAGCACAGCGGGTAGGGCGTTTGCCTTACAAACGGCCAACATGGCCGACCCGAGTTCGATTCCTCCGCCCCTCTCGGAGAGCCCGGCAAGCTACTGAGAGTATTCGATATGCCAGACACAGTAACAACAAAGTCTCCAATGGAGACGTTACTGGGCCCGCTCGAGTAAATCGACGATCAACGGGAGGGCCTTTACCTTTACCTTTACCTTTATTTAAAGGAAAGCAGACAGACATTCCCACTTGCAGAAAAAAGTACCCTTGTTTGAAATTATTGCTGGTAAAATTTGTTTGGAAGGTGTTAACTCATTCCTATTAACAACATTTTAAAGACATTGTAGTCTCTGCATTTTCCTTACCGTCTGGAGTACACTGAAACAATTCACTACAAACTAAAATGACACTAAATATATTTATAAGCAGGGCATCTTTACCTAGAGGAACTTTTACTTTCTTTTACTTGGTTAAATGAAAAACTATGAGGCCGGAAGGATAGTACAGCGGGTAGGGCATTTGCCTTGCATGCGACCGATCTGGGTTCCATTCCTGACATCCCATATGGTCCCCAAGCACCGCCAGGAGTAATTCCTGAGTGCCAAGAGTAGCACCTGAGCCTTGTGTGTGTGACCCGAAAAGCAAAAATTAAGTAAATAAAATTTTAAAAATAAATGAAAAACTACTTTGTTCTCAGCCACGATTCAGAGTTAGTCATTTCATGGTTCTCTGAACTGGCTTTACGTGGGTGTATGAAGGGTTGGCCACATCCAGTGATGTTAAGAGATGATTTCTGACTCTGCTCAAAAGTGACCCTGAAGGTGCTTCAAGGACCATATGTACAGCCAGAGATCCAAACCATGTGCAAGGCAAGTGTCTTACCTCCTGTACCTTCTCTCTGGTCCATGGAGTACATTTTTTTCAATCACTGACTGTTTCCATAAGAAATACATGGTTTCACTGCTCAAGGAAAGTGAAAGGGGTATGCATTTCTTATGCCAAAGCATGGAATGGAAGACAAGAGAGTTCTGCACTCTCTGTAAAAATATAGCAACATCATTTAGTATGCAGAACCAAAGAACTGCTGTGGGGTATTTCTACCAGCAATAGCCTCACAACTCATACGATGTATAAAAAGTAAGAATTAAACATAAATACATAATCCATTGTCTGATGTTCAAAATGTGAACCAAAAAAGTCATCTTCAAGACAGAAGTCATGCAAAAATTAGATTGCCTCAATTCACTGTCAATACCCTTGTTATTTGATATTTCTGAATTAAAATCATGCTTCAGATAATTGGGAGAGAATATAATAGAATTACTTCATGAAAGCTATTTATAAATAACTCCCCTTTAGAGACATTCTTACAGAGTGGCAAGGAAAGTCAGCGCATGTTCCCGGGCTTACTTCGAGGAAAGCGAGGTGGGTTATCATTGACATCAGTCAGGGTCACGGTGACCGACGTTGTTCCTGAGAGTCCTCCATTCTGACCAACCATATCCTTTGCCTGAATAACAAGCAAATACTGGTCTTTAGCCTCTCTATCCATGTTGGGAAGGGCGGTCTTGATGACTCCTGTAAAATTTCAAATCCCAGTAAAACGCATCATGAATCACCACATGAATGAACACCAGTCTAGAGCATATTCTCTCTCGAGTCTGTGCCCTTTGTTGCTTTAATCATCTTAATGCAGACTTACCCCCAACGGGCTGTGGTAATTATAAACAATATTACCACATAGAGAAAATGTCAGAAGAGTAGGATTTCTTAGTATGAGTTAGAAGATTATCTTTAAGTTTCAGAGTACTATTAGGGAAGTAAAACTTTGAGAATTTAACGTACTCCTTATCCTACAATAACTGGGCAGTCACTTCCACACGCATATGACAATGACCTCGCCTGGTTTTCTCTTTCACCCTCTCCAATAACTTAATTCCAGTGCCACAAACTCACCATAAATCTTTCAGCTACTGGCCCTACTGCCACTCTGCCAGCAAAGTTAAAACACACTCTGAAAAGGAAAGAATAAGAGTGATCTATGTTCAATGAGCAAAACACCATTTTTCACACTGCAACGATCAACTGGTGACTTTAGGCTGCAACAGAGAATTGGAGGAAGCTCTTCAATGTGAGGGTGACTGTGTTAATGGAAACTCCGAAATGACTGGTGTGTTTGGTGGTGTTCATTTCTAATCAATAGCACTTCATATTGACAGTCCTTAAGCCTGTAGATGTTTCAAAATTGCATGTTGCTCATTGGGGAAATGGCTCAATAATCATTCTTGCAGTGACTGCATCCTTTTATATTAATAATTAATTGATTTAATTAGTGTGCATGTACAACTAGACAATAACCTGTACTCTGGGGGGAGAAATGTGTTGTGTGTAAGTATGTAAAATGATGTATACGCCTAATATATTAGGCTTAGAAACTGTTCACAGAAGTATTATCAAATGGAAATCTATTTAATATTGATCAATGGGGACTTTGAACCTAGTAATTACCGGCCATCTTTACTAATGAAATATAAGAAGTCTAGAGTTCTACTTAATCATTTCTTGCACTTTCATCTTTTCCATCAAGGACAATATCTTACATAATCACCTACGGCAATTATGTCTATTGACTAAGCTGAAAAAAGGTCTAATTTACTTTATTAAACAGATTCTAACTTTTAGGGAGATGTCAGAATTTAAATTTTCAGTGGCTCAGAGCCAGAGGAACGAGTGTTTGACATGGACATCACAGTTGTTTAACAGAGGTAGGGTCTTTGAGCAGAAATAATTGCATACAAATTCAGGATATTCTCCCTTGAGTTCAATGTAGAGACTATTTAAATCCTCCAAGCTTACACAGAAAAAAATTAAACTGCCAATTTCAGTTGTTTAAAAGCTGATCCTTAAGTGGGAGTGTCTTATGATTTCTATGTGTCCTGTTTTATCTGCCAGACAAACATGATAAGCTCCAATTCTATTATTTTGTTTTGTTTTGGTTCGTGGCCACACCTGGCAGTGTCCCAGGCTTACTCCTGCTTCTGTGCCCACGGATCACTCTGTGTGCCTGGGAACCATATGGGATGCGGGGGATGGAACCTGGGTCGACTACATGCAAGGCAAATGCCCAGCCTGCTTTACTATTGATTCAGGCCCTATAACCTCCAATTTAAATATAGAATGCTTCTTCTCTACAACACAGAACTCTAGCTTGGAAACTACTCTCCCCGGATAGCTTCCACCCCACAGCTCTTATTCTGCCCATGGCATCTTGAAATTCTACTAACTCCAGCTCATTTTGAACTACAGACTGCGTGTCCCCTTCAGCCATGTAATAGACCAAAATAAGGCATCCCTCGATTTGCAGGTTGGAGAGTAGAAAAGCACTTTTGGTGGGGTGAGGAGTGGGGGGAAGCGAGGCACATTTTCAATCTTTTAGAACAATTTAAATATTGTGCTATTGTTACTCCAAATTACAAGTTACATAACTCTCATGCTATGTTCTACATTCATATTTTAGCTTAAGTCTGATGACTAGTTCTCCAGTACCACCACATAGTGATGCAAACTCTCACTGTCATTGTCCTCCCGTTGTTCATCGATTTGCTCGAGAGGGCCCAGTAACGTTTCCATTGTGAGACTTGTTGTTACTGTGTTTGGCATATTGAATGCATCACGGGTAGCTTGCCAGGCTTTGCCGTGCAGGCGAGATCCTCTCAGTAGCTTGCCTGGCTCTCCGAGACGGGTGGAAGAATCGAACCTGGGTCAGTCAGGTCGGCTGTATGCAAGACAAACACCCTACCCGCTGTGCTATCTCTCCAGCCCAGTGATGCAAACATAGATCAATATTCTAAACATTTAGGTGACACTACTTTAAGGCAGTTATATTTGTAAATGTTAATCAGTTCTTCTAATGCACTAAATATAAATTGGCATTCTTGCAACAATTACAGCAGTTCAAAGCCACTTTAAGTAACTACTTTCTGAATTCGCTTGGTTACCTATCGACTACATATAAATGTCTTTGAAATATCACATTATTAAGGGAAATTAGTCATGTTCACTGGGTTCGGTGACAAGTGCCTGATACATATTATCTGTCGAGCCGAAAAGTATCTCTCGATATTTCATGCCTATTTTTTAATACTTGTGTTAAGTCTAATCTATGACATGACAAGCGGTAATATAATCTTTGTCTAAGGCTCTAGAAATTCTACTTCTCCAAGTTTTTCATCCTGTTTTATGGCACTGGCTTTGATTTGTAACTCCTTTTTTAAAATGTGTATATTATCCATCTTAAATATTTGAGCAATTGCAAGTTTCAGGAGATAATAAAATACTGAATTTTTTAGAAAAAATTAGTTAAATTTTCACCTTTCACTACTATATCAGTATGCGTGTGTTTTCAACTTCATGTTTTAGCTTTACCAGGAGAGGCATAGAATGTCTCAACTTATAGGCAGAAATATAAGTTGGAGCTGGAGTGATAGCACAGCGGGTAGGGCGTTTGCCTTGCATGCAGCCAACATGGTCGACCCGAGTTCGATTCCTCCGCCCCTCTCGGAGAGCCCAGCAAGCTACCAAGAGTATTCGATATGCCAGACACAGTAATAACAGAGTCTCCAATGGAGATGTTACTGGGCCCGCTCGAGCAAATCGATGATCAACGGGAGGGCCTTTACTTTACTTACTTTATAGGCAGAAAAGCACAACATCCTTATTCTAACATAATTATGTTTTTTTGGAAGTCTAAAAAACGGGTAGTCAGGTTACATATTTTTCATGCCTCTAATTGTCTTTTTACAAGTGATCTCATGAATCGCTTGTTTCTAATGAACATGATCACAATGTAATTTAGGTGGTAAAGATAATTTCCAAAGATCTCAGATAGTAGGTAAATGTGGGATGAACAAAGGCAAAAATTGAATTTTAAAAAAGGACATTCGAAAAGAATAGGTTTCTACATGTTGGTAGCTTTTTTATATCGGGGTATATAACCTGCCAACATCTGGGAGAGAAATCTCATTGGATTTGATTTGCATTTTATGTTATATAAACAGACACACAAAAAAACATTAACACTACATCTCTAAAACAATAAAAGTCAGCCTTGTCTAACCAAAACTCTATAGTTGTATGGCTCTTTCATGGAAGCTATTATTTACTTTCAATAATCCATCATTTTAAGCTACCAACAGTGAAAAAAATGCATCCTATAGCAGCCCAGAAGAAACTGACTCTGATCTTAGACATTCTAAATAAATTTTCTGTAACTGTGCCATCTGACTTAGAAACCCAAAACTTTTTTATTTATTGATAATCCATATTCACAAAATGCACTGGGCCTATATATAACCTAAATTTATCACTATTATTCTTCAAGAACAGTCCGGCTTTTCATGTGGGAATGAGTTTTCCAAATCATTCTCTAATGTCTGGGAGTCACTGATGATATAGTTTTAAGCATATCCTATTAAGCTCATATCTGAAGAATTTGCATAGATACTGCATGTAACAGAGATAGCTAACATTTCTCAATCCACCTCCACAAGGCAAGCCAGTCAAAGGTGCATGAATTCAGCACACTTAGTCTTGTGAATAGTCTGACTATTCCAGACACCCACTGACCTCAGAGGGTAGGCAGTGGTGGGGTGGGGGAAGGGGGTGAAGGGAAGCATCCAGCCCCCCCCCCGGGGAGGGGGGTCGAAGGTACATTTACTGTACAAGGTGAAAAGGGCTTCCTCATCTATCTGTCGTTCTGTCTAAGCCTGTTTCATTCAGTTTGTCTACCTCTAAGCAAAGCACGTAAGGGAACTGCAAAATAAGATGTAGAAGAGAGAGTCAGAGAGAAAAGCCTCCAAAAATGAAAGGATTCCAGAAGTGATATCAAACGAAGGGTCCCCGATTAAGGCCCCTCGTAACCTCCATGGGGAAATTGTCCACAGTCAGCTCTGGGCGAATGCCCACCACACAAGGAAGGCCACAAAGGGAGCACGTGTAAAAGCCACTATAGGACTGGGCCTTATTTATTTCTGGGAAACTATGACATCAGCACACAGTGCAGGTCCCAGGGAGCCAGACCTCTTAACACAGAAGAAAGGTCTGCTAGCTGATGAATCCTGTTTAACTCTGTTCTGCACAACCAGCAACACTGCCAGGGGACCTGGGTGCTCCAGCTTCCACCCTACAGCTTTTATTCTGCCCATGGCACCTTGGAATTCTACTAATTAAAGCTCATTTGGAACTGCAAATTGTGTGTCCCTTCCAGCCAGGTAACAGGCCAAAATATGGCATCCCTCAGATTGCAGGTTAGAGAGTAGAAAAACACTTTCAGAATAAGCCTCTTGTTCCTGCAAAGTTTGAATCTATTCAGAACTGAATGAAGAAGAACCCCAGAAGGGCCCAAAATGCATTCTTGGGTTTCTGCTTTAGTCTGAATTGGCAATATGGATTTTTGTGGTAACTCACACTTCTGTTTGTGTGGGTGGAAAAATCCTGCTAGCCTCTGGTCATCTGGCCTGCAAATCGTGCTGCAGCTGGTATTTACATGCTCTGAGGTCTGCACACTCTAGGTTACTGGTATACAATTAGTAAATAGTGCTTGATTAAAAAATAGCATGAAAACATAATATTATTTTTAATGGAAAAAATAAAAAAGGAGTCATAAACTAAGAGAAATGCACCAAGCAACAATTGCCTCAACCTATTTTTTTTTCTCCCTCCTATCTTGATTTGGTATATTTTCAATATTTTTCTTGTCTGAAATTTTCAATAGTTTTCTTTTCTTGCTTCTTCTCAAAGCCCTCAGCTTCAGAAATGTGGAAAATTGTGTTATTTCTCACATAGATAAGACTCATACTGTCAGCAAATACAGAAGGCTAACTCAAACCTGATTTACAGCTCCCCATGAGTTTCAGGACTAAGAAAGTTTCCATTTTTGTCAGAGAAACACAATTATTTTTTTGTAAAAGAATGCATTCTCTATATTATGAAGAATCAGAGCGGGAATTTTTTTTCCCCGAATACCACTGCACTAATGAGAAGAAAAGGAGAAACCCCAATGATTTCCGTAATTATAGCATCAAAAGTGAAAGTAACACAAAATTAAACTGAACTTCCTTCCCCTCCTGTAATACATGATCTTTGAGATTCTGAAATTAAAATGAGTATGAAGAAGCAATAGCGTGACCCACACAGAAAATGGTCCAGTTGCTCAGTCAAAAGCCTAGGGCTCCCCTCCTCTGGGTTTTCTGAGAAACCCATTATCTTATAACAAAACTAAAATCACAAGCCAGTCATTAGCAGCAGCAAAATATTTAACCCTTGGGATTGGTACACGCTATTTTAGGATGAGTTATATAATGCAGGAGAGTATAATTTGTGAACAAACTGTCAGAAACTTGTCAATGTCGTTCTAGGCTGTAAAAGTAGATATATAAAGGGAACGGGTGGGTGTCTGACTTTAGGATTCTCAATTCTATCATTAAATCAACCACCAGCAAACGTTCCACATTCACAGGATTCATTTCACAAATAAATACTTTCATTTACTTCTCCTGCAACACTTGCTTAATAAGAACCATTTCTTCTTCACTAGATTTTCCAGGTGGGATTCAGACGCTACCACTGCATGAGTATAAAAAATTCCAAGGCCGTCCTGATGAATTCTTAATGAGTCAAAAACCAAGACTTCTTATTCATGCACATTACCATCATTCTCAAGATGTTTAAAATATCTCCCCACACTGAGATTTGAGAATCTAATAATATTGGCATTTAAAAATATATATAAAATATCCATTTAGGACCACAGATACTATCCAAATATTCAATCTCTTAAAAGTGACCATTTGAAAGTTAATTTTTCTCCATGATAATGACAAAATGACTAAACCATAGAGCAATTTTCAAGGGACAAAATCAACAAAACACTCCACCCATTTTGATCCCCACCCATTCTTCCCAAAACATAGAGAAGGGAGAAAACTATTTTACAACGAAAATAGAAGACCCCAAATGATAGTCTTGCCTAATGTAAGGTATTTATTTAAGCTTAAAAGCAAAACAGCTTCCAGCAGCCAAGCAATATTCTATCCAGGTAGTTTGTGCAACTTAGAAAAACCTTGTCTCCTAATTCTTGTTTTCATAAAACATTTATTTTGCTTCTAACTTAGTAAATCATCTCCCCAATGGTTATGTTTTAATGAATTTCCCCAAGAAAACTATTTCCAAACTTTTGGAAAGATAAACTGAATCCATTACCTAGTCTCCTACTTGATGAGCAGATTTCCACCTGAGATTAAGTTTTATTGCGTATAATTCCTCTCTAAATGATGGAAAACAAAATGAAAATGGAACAAAAGCAAAGAATGGGATTTTCTTCTATGGTCTGTACACAGGACATAAACATCTATTCTGTTCGTTTCTTTTATTGAAGAGATGCAGGGGCAGACCCAGGGCCCCCCACTTGGGAAGGAGCCTGGGCACTTCCTGGTGACAGATTTGCTGGTGCTCAGGCTCCACAGATGCACCCAGCACTGCTTGGGGGTTCCACAGAGTCCCGGGTATTGACCCAGGCTCAGCAAAATGCAAGGCAGGTGCCTTGACCACTGCAGTATCCTCCTCCAGATGCTGAATAAATTTTAATATATCATATTGTGTTTAATGTTGATGGGAATATTGCTAAACAATACAAAATATTCTATTGTTTTGTTTTGGGGGTCTCACCTAGCAATACTCAGGGGTTACTCCTGGCTCTGCACTCAGAAATTACTCCTGGAGGTGCTTGGTGGACCATATGGGATGCTGGGAATTGAACCTGGGTCAGCTGCGTGCAAGGCAAAGGCCCTACCCACTGTGCTATCGCTCCAGCCCCAATACAAAATATTCTTCAATGACAACTATGCTACCTGTGATGAATACACACATACTGAGAGAAGCACAATAAGGAGTGCCAAGAAGAGTGGATAAAAATAATTTCGATGAAGAGTTTATTCTAATTCTCCAGGAGCACCACATGCTTAGGTTCTCACGCTCAGTCATCCAGCCCTGTTGGCAGAGAACTGGCCACTGGACCCTCTGAGCATCCCTTGGATGTCCGACCTGCCCCCCACCCCCAATTTTTTTCTAATTCAATGTCAAAATCTAAATCATGATTTTGCAAGGAGCATCCCATTTCCATGGTTACCTGTCTTGGGTTCCACAGAGAAGTACGGCTGTCCTTGCAGAATGCTGTAGACAACGCGGGCACTGTTGCCATACGTGGGGTCATCAGCGTCTGTTGCTGTCACTTGTACCACCGAGGTTCCTATGGGCCAATCCACAAACCAATGAATTTAAAGCTTCTGGGAACCACAAAACACTCTTAACTCATGAAAGGCTCAGACTCTATGTTTGGCTTCTGCTTTTCTTTTGAGGCATAAAACAAAGGAGTATGTCAACTACATGATGGACCCCTTAGGAGGATAAACACTAATGAAACTTCACAAGTTGTTAAGGAATCTAAAAGTATGTTGGCAAAAATACTGACGATTAATAATGCCCCCACAGGATAGGAATCTACTCCAGATTCGTTGGGGCTAAAATTTTAGGCCTCTCTTGCAACAGAACCAGGGGTTAAATTTTTCTAGAGTATTCCGGGCAGATGTCCATCAATATCCAGAGAGGAGCATGGCAAGAGATCATCACTCAGAGGTTCTCTCTATCATAGCTCATTAAAGTCTGACAGAAAGTGAAACATCCTAGCCGAATAAGCAATCCAGTTCCAACCAGCCATTGAACTTGATATCTGGTGATTGCATTTATGTCATTAGAAATGGTTTTCATGTGCTTCTGCCTCTTGTTTTTTTTTTTTCTTGAGCACATTGATGTTTTGCTGCAATTTGTGTTAATTAAGCCACAGCCACCTGTGAGCCACAGGTGATACACAACAGCTCTGATGTGTCAAGCATAAAAATTGAAACCCAATCCCACCCCTAGGAGGAAAAGTACAGCAATGTGAAAAATTCATTCACTGTGTTTCTCTTGTTGGTGACAGAGTGCCATACTATTTTTAACGATGTATTCACTTGGTCATTGTAGGAAACACCATGATTGCTTTTTTTTTTTTTTAAGTTTCCTTTGCAGTGTTACCTGTCAAATGGAAGAGGTGGTCGCTGGAGAGGGAGGACAGGTTATGGTGCTTGCCTCATATGTGGTTCAATATATTCAATCCCTGACACCCCATAGGGTCCCAAGCCTCAGCAAGAGCGATTTCAGACCACAGAGCCAGGAGTAAGTCCCGAGTAGAGGCAGATGTGGCCCAAAAACAAACAAATAGGAAAAAAAAGAAATAAAGGGAAAATAGGAGAGGCACCAGGATTTCAGATGGACTGCACATGCTTCCCACACTGGAAGTCCAGGATGAATCTCCTGCACCAACACAGTCCCTGAGCACTACTGGGAGAAAATCCCCACACAGAGCTGAGAACAAACTGTCACTGTCACTGTTTTCCCGCTGTTCATTGATTTGCTCTAGTGGGCCCAGTAACGCCTCCATTTTGAGACTTGTTGTTACTGTGTTTAGCATATTGAATAAGTCATGGATAGCTTGCCATGCTTTGCCGCGTGGGCAAGATACTCATGGTAGCTTGCTAGGCTTTCCGAAAGGGGCGGAGGAATCAAATCCAGCCTGGCTGGGCTGGCTGCACGCAAGGCAAACGCCCTACCACTGTGCTATTGCTCCAGCAAACTTTTTTTATTTTATTTATTTTATTTTTAATTTTTTGAGCTACTCTCAGTGGTGCTCAGAGCTTCCTCCTCACTCTGATCTCAGGGATCACTCCTGATGGTCATGGGGGACCATTTGGGGCGCTGGGGATTGAACCCAGGTAGACAGCATGTAAGAGCAAGGGAAATACCCCACTCACATAATATCTCTCCAGTCCCTGGAACTAAACCCTGAACACTTCTGTGTGCAGCTCCAAAGTCCAAACAAAGGAAAGAGATTAGAAACTAAAATAGGCTTCCATTAGGTATTTGAATAAGGACTTTTATCATGCATGTCCAGCTGAGGATATAAGTCCCACTTTTTTCCTCTGGATTCAAGTTTGTTTTTAATAATTTCTTGGAAATATAACCTTTTAAAAAAATCTATCATTTTTTTCCAACTTAGTTCTATATAGACCTCTATTTCAGAATATCTCACATAAGCCATCCAATATCTATTTTCTTACACACTGATGTCCCTTCATGCTATGACTTCTATTAATAAATCAATTTTCTTTCAAATGAGTAGAAATTACATATACTATATATTACATATTATACATGAAACAAAAATTCTGAAGTACTTCTGCTTTTTTTGCTTTGCTAACAATCATTCCATGGCTAGACCAGCTGTGCTGAGACAGGTTTTTAAGTTAAGAATTAAATTTCAGTAGATTTGAGCACACGCAGGGCAGCTGGGTTTGGTCCCTGTTACTAGTACTCTATGTGGTCCCATTAGATAGACAGGGAGCACCAAGCTAGGAACAATGTCCAACCACTACTGGGTTTGGCCCAATTAAAACAAAGAATTCAACTGTATTGATTTTTAGTGATATACGGAATATTAATGATTTCTATTTCTCTAAAATGGACTATTCTTATAGCAAAAAAATTGTGATGACATTTCTTTTTCTTTTTTTTTTTTTTTTTTGGATCACACCTGGCAATGCACAGGGGTTACTCCTGGATCTGCACTCCGGAATTACTCCTGGTGGTGCTCAGGAGATCATATGGGATGCTGGGAATCAAAGGAGGTCTGCCACATGCAAGGTAAACCCCCTACCTGCTGTGCTATTGTTCCAGCCCCTGTGGGGACATTCTTAAGCATTGATTTCATACTGCATTTTAAAAGAACACACACACACTCACACACATACACACAAAACCCCCAAAAGAGGGACATATAAACTGTAGTAAACTCAGTTGCATATTCTTTTTAAGAAATAATTTTTAACTTATTTTATACATCATTAACACATTTTCAGATTATTTTACACTTTCTATGATAATTCAACACTTATGAAAATGGTTAAATGATCTTAAATTATCCTAAGGACATATTCTGTACTTTAAAATGTATAGTTAGTATACAATGAAAATTAAAAAAAGCTTCTAGCTATTAATTTAATAACTTGGATATACAGTATGATCATGTGTTATAACTACTGGTTAGAATTATACACCTTCCTAAACTATGACTTGCAATAATTCATATATTATATTTTGCACGAACAGGCATTGTTCTTTATGTGTGCTCTGTGTTCTGATTCAGTAACAAGTAAATACTGGAGATATTTCACATTAGTTTTCTTAAAAAATTCTAAAATTCTACATATACTGCAAACAATCAAATAACTAAAGTCACTATGCAGGTGGAAGTAATAATGTACAACTGGTATGAGAGAGAGAGGGAGAGAGAGAGAGAGAGAGAGAGAGAGAGAGAGAGAGAGAGAGAGAGAGAGAGAGAGAAAACCATTTCAATGGCAACACCACTGAAACCCACAAAGTACTGCACATTGTAGCAGCTGACAAAAATTTCACATTAATACCATGTCCATAGCTAATGTTCACAGCTACAGTTTCTGTAAGAAAGGTGACCGTGTACAAGCCAAGGTTTAACACTAAAATGTCTGTAATAATCAGGACTTGCTCAAAGACATCTCCCAAAAAATCCTGCTTCTAACTTTGGAGAAACCATGCCTTGCATTTTCTAAAGCTTTGTAAATCTGGCAGTTGTTGCTTTTCTTATTGTTGTTTTGGCTGGTGGTGTTAAGCAACAACACAGGAAGTAGTCTGAAGAGGCAGGGGTGCTGAGAAGGTGGAAATAAGCCAGTTCTGTCAGGAAAAAAAAAGAAAATGTTTGCTACTATTGTACAGAGACAGAGATGGTACCATAGAGGTGCAGAATTCTTAACAAGCTCTGAATCGCCTGGTTCGCTTTCTCCTTGGGTGTCTTCAGTAGTTTTGATGTAGGCAGGCAGATAGAGAAGGCCCTTTCCCAAGGCAATGGCAGTACATCTCCTGGGAAGTCATAGCCCTGACCTCAGGGAGAACTGGGACCCTGAGACACCCCCCTCTCCACCAGAAGTTCCAGCAGAAACAAAAGTCAAGAGAGGAATTTCAAAGACCATCACCACTCCTAACCCCCTTGGTAACCTCCCTAGCAACAGACTTTTAGCTAGGTAGAAGCCCCGCATGGGTACAGGTTGGAGAAACCCTATGAAGGTCTCCTCGAACAATGGAAAAACGCACATATGCTGCCGGAGCCCATGTGCTGCTTCTGCCTATATGGCCAAGCACATCCTGTGGCTGAGCACATGTGTCGCCGCATTTCTCCTCTTGAGATGTGTCCTTTCATGCTTTCATGTCTAATGCTGAAATGTGTGTAGGGCTCTCTCCAACCTTGGAGACGCCCGGACTCTCTCTTGGGCAGGTTACTCTCCACTCTGTCTCACATTCAATCTCTTCCTCCTTCCCTTCAAAACCTCCAAATAAAACTATAATGTTCACTGCTCGTCTACTCCTGAAATTCCTTTCTGCGAGGCGAGACAAGAACCCAGTAACCATGGGTCCCGGGTGGCAGAGGCAAATTGGGAGAAAGTGACTGTCTTTCTCCTCCCCACTTCACCTGAGCCACCTGTGGGGCTCACCGACATCAGTTTGAGTCAAGGGACCCTAAATAATTCCCCTTTCTCATGGGGGCAGGAACAGAGATCTCGGTCACTAAGTTGGGATTTCCCCTAAAGGTCATAAAAACAAATACTTGCAATTCCACTTCAGAAAACTTATTTGACTGAATTATAAAATGAAAAAAAAATGACCTTTACTGAAAAAAAGATCAGATTTGGTACAACTTTTACATGTTACAATGCAAGTCTAGGTCTGGGAGATAGTAAAGGGGTGAAGGTGCTTTTGCCTTTCATGCAGCCAACCCCAGTTTAATCCCTGGCACCAGATAGGGTCCTCTGAGCATTGGCAGGAGGTATTGCTGAGCAGAGAGCTGGAAATATCCCCTGAGCACTACTCAGTATGACCAAAAAAATATAAAAAAAATACAAGTTCAATTGCTAATTTTAAGTCAACACCTTCTTTTCAAACTAAATTCAATCGGAAATATATAAACCAGCCGGTACATGTCCCAGGCCATCATTTTTAATTGTTTGCTAAGATCACCGATCCTGAAATTACACACCAATTAAAAAACACCCCAGTGACACCTGAATAAATGGAATTTAAATTTTTATTATTTGATATAAAGCGTATACTAAAAGGATTTTACTTTCTATTTTTCCAGTCATGAGGCAAAATCAAGAGATGTTTGAATAAAATATTTCTTCCTGATTTTTATGTTATATTCTTTCACACTCAGTGCTGTTTTACCAATATTATCAATTCGATAAAAATCCTCCTGCGCTTGTGTTTCTGGAGGTGGATGCTCACTGCAGGTTCACAGACACTCAGGGGCAGACAGACCAATGGATTCCTAGGTTCACCTGGCAAGCCCCAGGACTGCCCTCTATCCAGGCAGCAATGACTTTCTGAGAATAGTGAATCATCATCCTAATATCATTGAGTGAAAAAACACACACACAGAGAAGATCATCACAAAACTCTGCCGGAAGCACCTCATTTTTTTTAACCTCATAGCTACAATTTTAGCCTGTCTATGAACATCAAATATTCAATCCAAAGGAAATGTTGAGACCCTTGTAATTTGCTGAAGCCATGATGGCAACTGTGTGAATGGAAGCCTTCCCTCATTTTCCATCAAGGAAAACAAATTGTCCCATAACGTGATCCACATGGTAATACAGGCAACTTGAACCTAACCTTGCACAATAAGGGATTTCTTTCTTCAGCACTGCTGAAGGTGTCACTTTCAGTTCAGTCCCCCGCACCCCGTCCCATCCAACCCCCCCAAAAAAGGTTTCAAGAGTTTGTGTTTGGGACTGGAGTGATAGTACAGCAGATAGGTGGTTTGCCTGCATGCAGCCGACCCAGGTTCGATCCCCAGCATCCCATATGGTCCCCTAAGGAATTACTCAGAAGTAATCCCTGAGTGTAGACTGAATGTAGAGCCAGGAGTAACCCCTGAGCATCACTGGGTGTGACCCAAAAAGCAAAAAAAAAAAAAAATCTTGTGTTCATTACTCACCCACTGGAGACATTTCAGGGACTCCGGCAGTATAGGGGCCATCTAGGAATTTGGGTTCGTTGTCATTGATGTCCTGGATCTTGATGACGAATTCAGACTCAGGCTCCACAGGCTTGTTGGTGAGTCTGTCCAGAGCCTGGGCCCGGAGCGTGTAGTAGGCCTGTTCCTCGCGGTCCAGCCTCTTGGTCGCATGAATATCCCCTGTGTTCTCATCAATAATGAAAATGGAACTTGCCCCTTCGCCTGACAAGATGTATTTGATGGAGCCATCTCCTTTATCAACATCAGAGTGAAGCTGGTGAAAGATTCATGGAGATGAGATTAACTCACAAGGGAGTCAACGATAGGGAATACATAAAAAAAAATAATAATAATAATTCCTAGGTCAGTTCTCCAGACAAAATTCTAATGTTCTTGGAAAGATAAGCTGATGCTTATTGTGCAAGGTGGAAAGGCTATTTGAAAGTGTCAGCTTGCTCTGGGGAGCGAGACCGGCTCATTTCTTCCTGCAACCAATCTTTTCTCCAAAGGTTTTCTAGATCATTCCTGAAGGGGCAGCCTTTTTTCCCCCCTATTCTGACCTTCAGTTTGCATTCTGGAACAGGGCAGATATTCCGTAAACATGTATGTGATTGCTTCGTTCTTACTCCAAGCCCAGGGCTACAGATTTGTGGATTCTGCTCCAATATGCAATTTTAGTATGCTCAGGAACGTACACATGCTTTGAAGCTGTCTTTCCCGCCCATTACTTTTCATGATTAACAAGTATAGATTGATGTTCAGTCAACATGGGCCTCCAAATCCCATTCTATATTTTCAAATTTGAACTTAAAAAAAAAATTACGCTGCTCTCTGAAGTAGGAATTTTAAATCAATATGTGCCCGTGACTTCAACTAAAACCTTTCTTGAAATACCAAGAACTGCATTAGATTTGCATGATTAACCCCAGCTTCGGCAGCGGGCCAGCTCCAACTCATTTGCATTTCCTATCTGGAACTGTCCCTGCTATATGTCAGAACATTATGTTGAACAGAGGAACCTTAGGAAACCCAGAAATAATTACACATTTTCCTGAACTTTATAACCTGAGAAATACAGTACTCAATCTGTCATTTCAACAATCTTCCATCCCCTCTCAACTGCCATCAGTTTTGGACTTTGATTAATCTGAATGCAAAAATAAAATGAAAAAAAAAAACAATTTACCAAATCACAAGTCTTTGTGCCGCTCTATAGAACTGCATTTGCATTCTTTCAAAGAAAGGGCGCTAGGAATTATATATATATATATATATATATATATATATATATATATATATATGAGACTGCTCAGGAAAGGGGGGTTCATCTGCCCTAGTAGCTGCTGAGGAAACTGCCTTTCATCCCAGAGATTTCTACATGAGAGACTTCAGCTGTGTTTAGGCTCCATTTGCACACGCTTAAACACCCAATTTAGCCCTTAGTGTCTATACTCCTGAGGCTGGACTACATAACACAAGGGGTGAATTTCTGGCACAGACTATCACTCAGATTTACTCCATGTGGAATGGCTAGTGATCGCAGGTCCCATATCCATCCCCTGGAGATGTATTCCTCAAACACAGTGGCAGGAAGAGAGCCCAAAGGGCTCATGCTGATGCTGATACTTCGCACGCAGTTGCTTCCAGGTAGCACTGATGTCCCCAAGGCCAAAATTCTAACTACAAATAAAAAGCAAGATGATGAGGGCCAGTTCTCTTAATTCTCCCTGCACATGTCTCTGCAAAGAGGAAAAATGCGGCACCTTGATAGGGCCTGAGCCAAGGTGCCATCCCCACGTGCCGGATAAGGCTCTGGGAATTCTAAGGAGGGCTGCATCATCGCTCATCATCTCTGCTGCCAGAGCAGGCAGCTAACGATGAGGAGTCAGGCTGGTCCACTGGTCAGTTCTCGGGCAGCCTGGGGTTGTGAGAACATTCTGGTGCAATGTAATTCTGCATCTGGACAGGTAGGGACAATGGCATCTGCCGGAAGAACTCAGGAAGAAGGGCCAGGCAGGCCAGGCTGCTGAGAGGGAGGAACAGGTAGAACAGTGCTCTGCTCCCTTCTCCAGAGACCTTTGATTTATCTGACCCGCCCGATGGTATCTCACAGCAATGAACTCCACCACCATCCACCACCAGGCACTCCAAAGGCGGCTAAGAGATGAGAATAAGCTCTTGTGAAGCCTGTTCACTGTCCCTCTTCTAACCCCTCCTCTGCCTCCTGGGCCTGCCTCTGTCTGCCTGCTGTTCATGGGGGCAAGAGAGCATCCAGGAAGTGGCGACACCCCTGAGAAATACAGAGGCAACCCACCATCGGATCTTCTGTGGCAGGCTTGCGTTATAGCACTAAGGCTCATTAGCGGACCCCATGCCCATGGCTCAATGCCCCCAGGATTCATCCAGTTCTCTCCGCTGAGTGCTGCTAAGGTAGCACCAGTTCCTGCAGTCTGCAAGGCAAGTGAGCATGAACACAGTTCAGCCTTTCACACTCTTGAAATTCTCTGACCTTCCAACTGAGCTCCCAAGTTTTCATTGGCGCAACTGTGAGCTGCTTCCTTAACTGATGGGGTGAGAGGCCGCTCGGTAGGGGGTAAGAGGTGCATATTGCTTGCTTCCACACTCTTCCAAGGCTCCCATCCCATTTATTCACTCTCGGCAGCCCACCCCCACCCACATCTGTTTCAGGAGCTGCGAACTTAACCATCCTCCCATTACTGACACTTTTCTCCCAGCTGGGACCATCACTAGACTTGTAATCACTGCCAAAATTCACAAGCAGAAAATTGCTTGGAGTCTGAGCTCAGTGTCCTTGCAAGGTTAGTGTAAGCAGCTGCAGTTGAAAGTTGATGACCAACTTTGCAATGTTGAGATGGAGACATAATTATCAGAAGCATTCAGACATTTAATCTGGGAGTCTGTGTCCGCCACTAATCTTAATAGGCCCAGCCAAGCCCACGCTGTCAGTGAAAGTCTACCAACATTCTTCGTGGAGAAAGACAGGCTCAGCAGAGGAGAAAATCCCAAGGCCTTCCTGTGCTGATGTATATCTACTTAGACACACACACACACACACACACACACACACACACACACACACACACACACACAGGAGCACAGCATGGAAAAGTCCTATGCTCCCCGGCAGACACAGAAATGTCTATGATCCTACAATGAGATAAACAACTCAAACAACAAATGAAAAACACAACCCAAAACCAAGTACCAAGAACTCATAATGCCAGGTGCATTCCTATGCTGATACTCTCAGAAATGTGGCCCACAGATACATCCAAGCAATAAGGGCAGGGGATTGGTATGTTCATCATTAGATAACATTTCACCTTTACTCCTGGGTTTCTTATAGACTTTTCAGAGTATCTGTAGTCATTGCATTATCAATGACTACATATATCATAAAAGTACATAGCATTATATATCATTATATATAATTTTGTATAATCTTTTGTAAATGAATACAAACAGTCAGACATATAAACTCCTTAGTTGATTCTACTTTGCTATACTGATAACATGAAATTTTATCAGGAAGATAAAATCATGTGAATCCTAGATGTCAGAGTGCAACACCATATATGGTGATGGTGTAAGAAATATCAAACAGTGTTGAAATTACAATCTACCTAGGTTTCCAACACAGTTTACATGAAAATAGCCATCTGACAACCCATAATGGCTCCATCAGTCTCTGATCAACAGAACACTTCACTACACACACGCACACACACACACACACACACACACACACACATATGCATGAACGCGCATATATTGTCTCTAACATATCCACTCCCTCCTCTTCTTTTTGAACACCAAGTCTATCAAAATTTTTAAATCTTTTTTGGGGGGTACTTTGTCAAGGCTGTAATCATGCTTGTTCAAAGCTTATCTCCATAAGTAGGCTATTACGCCCCATCAAATTCATTTAATTGCATCCCATGGTGTATGGTTCTAAACATGGGCTCCCTGTGAACATACATTATCTCTGTCATCTCTGTTTTGGATTAGAACTCTGCATATGCTCTGCTCTGGGCATGATGGACTCACAGAAGAGCTGGAGCATAGCACTGTTTCCAGACTTTTGGAAGAAAGGTCCTGTGTCACCCAGAGCTTAACTTAAACAATTTCCTTCCCCTGAATCCTTATATTCCTGTTTTGCTTTCTGTAGCATGCCTTTTGTTTTCTATTTGTTACTGTTTGTTTAGGTTCCATAACCAGTAATACCCAGTGTACCTGGCTCCTGCTAGGGGTCACGCTGGTGGTTCTCTGGGACCAGAAGCTATGAAAGAGAAAGCTGGGGTTCACCATGTTCAAGGCAAGGACCATGAGCCTGGTACTATCTCTGTCCCTCTAGCAAGCTATTTTAATTCAAATAGCAGAATGCATTTAATTCTGCTTTAGATCAAACATCTGGTTTTGTTCTCATTTTCATCCTCTTCTTTAATGTATAATTTCCTTAAAAAATTGGCTTCTTTTTTATGACCATATTCCAAATTTCCTATAAATAATTTACGTTGCTTGGGAAATATAAGAGTCACTTGGTGAAAATAGGAGTGCTGGCTTATTTTATTTCCCAGTCTTTCAAGTTTTAATAGCAATAAGAAAAAAATCAATCAATCAAAGCAAAAACCTGCAGCTCTAGTTTGTCCTTATCTTCTGAAGCACCTCAAGGGATTTCAGAAATCTTCCTGTGTAGGCCCATGATATGGGTACACGCATGTTCCATGTGTACACCCATAGCAATGGCATATGTGCTATCTTGTACTTGCATGCTAATGCAGGTTAATACTTGGTTCCAAGAGAACAATATACTTTCTCTTTCCTTTCTTTCCCTGTTTTTCCCACTACTCACACATGCTTATAAAGGTTTTCAAGGAAGGTTTGACCCGCTCCTAGGAATCCCCCAATCCTCTCAATTGCAGGATCCTCATTTCTTTGATTCATGTTCTATAATCCATGATGCACTTAATTGAAGACTGCAAAAGTTAAAATTTTCAGATCAAAACTAAAAAACAGACCAATGCATTGCAGCTTCAGCAATTTTCTTACAACTTTTTCAACTCAGGGCCTGGAGCTGTAGCCCGATTTTTAAAGCTAAAAGCTAGTCAGTAATAAAGATGGTCAACAGATATATGGGAAAATGGTCATTATCAATGATTATCATGGAAATGCAAATCAAATCAACACGGAGTCATCATTTCAAAAATGTGAAATGGTCCATATCCAAAAGAATGTTAACAGTGAGTATTAGTG